TTTATAGTCTTGCCTGTGCAAAGCAATACAAATTCATGCTGTCAACCAGTGATATAAACAGAATTTTCTTTTCTGAGGCGAAATTTGATAATTATGATGTTGTATCATATCTTGCACCACCCAAAACAGTAGATTGAGGATGTCAGGTTTCAGTACAACAAAATGGAACAAGTCTTTTCAGAAATCACGAACTGTCATTTTGAATGAGACTCTGAAATATGTTCCCACTTACCTACTGAGATAGTCCAGACAGCAATGATTTTCAGAAATGCCTTCGTTCTGGAGTTGAAGCGGCTGTGGTGGATGGGATTCTGGATGGCAACGTAGCGGTCCAGTGAGATGGCGCAGAGGTGCATGATGGAGGCCGTGGAGAAGAGCACATCCAGGTAAATCCAGACTGCGCAAAGCTTGCTGGGCAGAGGCCACCGGTATCCTATGAGGCAGAAAGTTGGTGTCAGCAAACTTATGCCTCCTAGGGCATGTGGATCCCTACCCTATGACAATTTCCAGTTCTGGGACAGGCACAGGTGGTAGCAAAGAGCAACACAGTATATTTTTCGTATTTGAAAAAAGCCACTAACAACTGTACTTAATTATGATATGTGAGCACTGGCTGATGAATACAGGCTTTGGACATTTCTAGTGTCTGGAATTATGGGAGTGTGGCGTGGTAAATCGGATTCTCTCTCTTTGAAGGTTCTCTTTCTTCCCCCTTACACCTGGCAAAACATTTTTTTTAAAGTGACTTACGTCAAAAGTTGTGACGTGTTTTGGCTCCTCTTCTGTAGCACCTCTCATGCCATACTGTCAGGATTTATTCACACATTTACCTGGATTGTATTTCCCTAAGGTCGGTCTCACCTCTTGGCCATTATAACCATCCAGTCCCATGCAGTGATGCTTATGGACATTTTGCCATCCAGTCCCATCAGTGATGGCAATGAATTGCATTGGTGCAAGTGACTAAATGATTAAAAATTCAGATTGTGAATATGTCTATTTGTAAAAATGAAAAATAATGACCTAATAAGGCTTTGGGTGCCAAACTCAAATTTGGGGTATCTGTGGGAGAGCTGAAGACAAGGGTGAAGAAAAATAAGGGAAGGTGTCCTTGCTCTGAGCTTTGTTTTAGGGAGGCATTTCTCAAACTTCAGTGAGCATCAGACTCTCCCACACCTCTTAAAACACGCATTGCTGGACCTCCCTCCAGAGGCTCGGATGCAGTTCGTCTGGAGCAGACTGTAGAATTTGCATTTGAATTAGCAAGCTCCCGGGTGATGCTGATGCTGCACGTCCAGAGACAGCGCTTTGCGAACCGCTGCTTTAGGACGGTGGCTCTCACCCCTGGCTACACATCAGAATCACCCGGAGAGCTTTAGAGAAGGTCCTGATGCCCATGCCAAACCCAGCCCAATTAAATCATGTCTGGAGGTGGGCGTGTGTGACTGAGGTAGACATGAAATGTCAAAGCGTTTGCAAAGCTCCCCAGACAATTCCAGTGTAAGAGACAGTGCAGGTCACCTGCTACATTAGGAGGATTGGACTGCCTTATGGACATAAGCAAAGTGTCCTGGTTTTGTGTTTTGGAGGGGGATCAAGCAGTTATGTAAACCTTAATTAGTTTTGGTCACAGTATAAGCAGCGAAGTTGCTTATACTGTGATCTGTCTGCATGTGAGAAGGAAAATTTTAAAGTCTACTTTTCTTGTTACAGACACATAAAGCCGAACAAACTCTCCAACCAAACGTATACTCTCTACCAAAATGCCGCGAGGGATATTTAGACAAGTAAAGAGCATAGGTACAAGTCTAATTTACAACCGTTCACTTGAATTATTTGCAAAGCGCTTGAACTAACGAAAGCCTTTTCTTTGCAGCGCCTGATGGGGGAAGCCAAGCTCTGTCTATTCGGAACAGATGTTGGCCCCCAGAGGGGTTTTCTATACAAGGAGTGGGCCCAGGCCTCAGTCTGTATGTCCGCGGCAGGATAAGGAGAGGGCATTTCCTTGTGGGAGAAGTCCCACGCCCCATGCCCCACGCCCCGTGGGCTGGGGGTGGTGGAAGTAGTAGCCCAGGGAGGGGCGGGGCTCCGGAGGGAACAGGCTGCACGCTGAGCGGCCACCGCCAGGGGGCGTCCTTGCTCCCCGAGCGGATGGCGCCGCGGGTCATCCCACCCTCCAGCCGCTGTTTAGGTTCCTGCTCTGTCACTCCTCCCACCCCCACTGGAGTTTGCCCCCTAGGGGAGGAGGTTTAGGAAGCAAGAACCTTCCCGGGACGCCCAGGAAAGAACAGGCGAATTTAATGAAATCATTCTGGTGTGGCATTTAAATGGTCAAGCGAGGCTGGACTTGGACTGAGCATTAGCAGCCTTGTGCATACTGGTACCTGCTCGCCCTTGCATACCGCCTTCCTTCCTTACACTCTCCAGGGCTGGCTTGATGATTTTTAATCTTAGCCCTAAGACTTGGCCAAAAAGTTTTCCCTGAAAGATAGCTATCGTAACCTGTCTCTGAGACCTGGGTAACTGCTGCTTGCACCTGTTTCACCAGTCCCAATAGTCTCCTTCTCTTTTAAGGAGATGTCTGGCTGTATTACTCATAATTTGGAAAGAAGGTCACATTCTGCTCCCTTGCTGGGAGGTTTGACTGTTTCAAACTCTGTTGAGAAGAAAGCAAGATTAATCTCTTCCCATTCGCTTCCCACCCTCCTCCAAACCAGACTGGAGGAGTTTATGCATATGCATTTTTAAAGAGTTGAGGATATAATTCAAAGGCACATTTCCAAATTAGCTTCTCTGGGCAGGGAACAATTAAAACTGGAGTAATTCATTTATTCTAATGGAGACTCTGCATATTTTAACATAAAACCTACTGCACCACTAATGTTCTCCCTGCAAATGTTCCAAGGTAATTGGGAAGGCTTTACCACTCCATTAGCAGTGCTGGAAACTGTGTGACAAAGATAAAAAACTGTTCTGTCCTGAAGGCTGGAATATTGGTTGGGATATATAAAGGGGCAAAAATCAAGTAGATTCAGAATGACGGGTAAGTTACTGCTTTATGACTGTATCGGGGCAATTTATAAAAACTTCTACATGAAATGTACATGTTTTAAAGCACAAAACTCTCCAGTGATCACAGGTAATAGGCTGTCGGATTTTTATGTGAAATCTCATTTTAAGAGGAAAATAGAAGTAACGTGGTAGACCCTAGTCTATAAACAAAGCCTTCTATTTAGAGTTTGACCCCTGGGCCCCATCTCATCTGCTGATGGCATGCACATGCTCTTTATTACCAGCGTGGGTACAGCTGGGAAACTAACGCCACTCACCATACAGGATGGTTAACATGGACACGGGCATGACAAGGAAACCCAGCAGCATATCAGCTATGGCAAGTGACATCAGGAAATAGTTGGTGGCATTCTGCAGCTTTTTCTCTAGGGACACTGCCATGATGACGAGTATGTTTCCAGCAATGGTTAGAATAATCACTACAGCTGTCAATAAAGCAGACCAGTTTTTTTCCTGGAGATGAAGTAAGGAGAGACAGGATGGTGAGAGGCACCCTTCACAGGAAAGGTTGGTTCGATTTTCAGAGTCGACTGTCCAGTTAAATGCAACAGAAGTGTTAGCTTCTCCGGAGTTAAAGTCATTACTGTAGAGCCTGGTGTCGTCATTTAATTGCATTAAGGAGTTCGTAGCTGAGCTCAAAGAAGTATTTTCTTCACAAAGAATATCCATGTCTAAGCCAGAACTTGCAGCAGATGAGGTGTGGAAGGACTAACACGTTACAGCCTCTGCTCACCATTCACCTTGGTGTCCCCACGCTCTGTAACACTGAGGCTGGTGTGCATGCTGGTCTCCCTGGGCTGGAGTTTTGTCTTCCATTATTACAGTGATAGTTAAAGAACTGAACCGTGGTGGCTCTAAGTTTTCTTCATTCACAATTTTAGGAGAGTTCACTGTTCGGTTTTATTATTTTCTCACCAAAGCGAGGACAAAAAAGCAGAATGAACTTTTAGCACAGAGGTTGCAGGTTTTTGTTTTTGTTTTTTTTTTTTTAGCATTCAGGGAGACAAATGTCCTGGACAAAGAAGAAAAGTTTTGTCACTACTGGGAATCTTGTTTAACTAGATCTCATTTTGCTGGTTATGCCGATAGTATTAGTTTAGCCACAGTATCATTGAAACAGCATGCAATCAGAAACAGCGGGGATGTTCACATTCTCCATTAAGAAAGTCAGTTAAAAATACATCCAGTGTTAATCCCATAGTAATTGGATATACTTTGGGTTACAGTTCTCAGCCATTCTTAGGCTGAATTGTCACAGCTGCTGTCAGGAATTTCGGTTCCTATGTTGTTTGGTTGATAAAAGGAAAAGAAAAAAGTCTTAAGTAAAGATTAGCAGACAACTTTCCCCACTAGAAATTCTCATTGAAATGATTACATTTTGGCCAAGCATGATTTCAAACCGGAAAGAAAATTACACAGCAATAAAATATAGCAGCATGAAAACTTACATTTGTCTTCGGGGTCCACACATGAGACACACTTGTTATTCTGTGACTCGCTGCATCTCTCGCAGTAATTAAACTGGTGGAGAGTCCCCGCTTCTTGATCTTCCACCAGCATAATATGATAGTAATTTGCTTTCTGTTTTGCTGACTTCAAAAACTGCATGCAAGGGCTGAGCCAGCTCCCGCACTGCTAGGATCCTGTTGGCTTCCTCTGGCACGGCTCGGCTGGGTCCTTCCTCCCTGTGCAGCTCGCCTCAGCAGGCACACATTTAGAAATCATTCACGAGCCCCTCGAAGTCGCACAAAAGAACTGCATGGAAAGTAGGCAGAGCTGTCTGCACCAAGGGACTCCTGGTTTCCACGGGAATGGAGTAGCTCTCTGGCTGCCTCGTTCACTTCATCAGACCTCCCTCTATCTGTATGTCATAAGCTGCAAGGTAGCAACAGCCAGGAGGGCGGACCAAATAGGCTTTTTTTTCTCCCTCTTTTTGCTACATATTAACATTGGGAAGTTTTCCTTTGCTTTTGAGAGAGAGAAACTGGAGAAATGGCCTTTTGTGCAGATTCCTGTTAAGGTAGGTAAGGGGCACTGTCATAATTTTTTAGGCTGAAGGGTGAAGAGAGAACATAAAGAAGGCTAGAAAACAGTACGCCCTGGGAATGCTGTAAGCATCCTGCGCCTCCATCCAAAGCCAACAGTGTTTGTGTCCAGGGTGGAATTACTGATATTGGCCACATGGGCTCAGGGTGGCCAGGCACATCTGTGGTGTTAACTCTGATAAACGATTAGCACTATTTTTATTTATTTAATAGATAACACCACTCAACTGGCTTATTTTCTTCAGCAGAAATGTGCCACCCAGATGAAATTCAAAACCTTACCTGCGGTAGGAAATAAGTTGGTTTTGCAGTACCAACTTTTTTTCTCCCACCGGTAATGACAATTTGCCTTACCTGTAAAGACAGCCCTTTTTCAAGTAGGTTTGTAAAGGAGGCTGATCTGTCTATTAGGCATGAAAATATTTTCCTGAATAGTTGGGGTTTTCTAGACTTCTAGCACCTTCTGTTCTTTACATTCTCCCTGGACAAATTCAGCCACTCTCATGCCTTCAACGTGTTTGTGGCCAAGTCCGTACCTTCATAGCTGATTATTTCTCTCAGTTGCAGACCTAATCTCCAGTTGCCCATTGGCTCCTTCCATGGTAGCCTAGGAGACCTCGACCTCAGCATCTTCCCTCACTCTCCAACCCCCTGCCTGGCTCTAAGTGCTTGTTCCTGCCCATTCACTTGTGTGGCAGAATCACTACCTTTTCAGACAGCTGCTGTTTTCCACAACTCTTCCTTCATTTTCGCTGCCAGGTCCTACTTAGTCTCCGGTGCTACCTCTATATGCGTATTTCTCACAAGTTGTCTCTTGCAGCTGGCAGCTCGAACCTCTGTGGTTGAGGCCTGGGCCATCCATTTCCTGGGCAGGTGCCTTAGTGCCCCCCCCGTGCCCTGCCTGCAACCCTCCTACCCCTCTATGTCAAATGTGTGCACTGGCGAGCAGGCAGTGGAGAACACAGACCTTAGAGTTCCTTGATTTTGAATCCTAGCTCTGTAACTCACAAACGGTGAAACCTTGCATCATCTAGTTTCTCCCTTTAAAGCTCAGTCTTCTCACTTGTAAAATGGGATGATGGTGGTACCTGCCTCATGAGATTGTAGTGAAGCTAAAATGAGATAGTGTGTGTAAGTATTTGGCCCATGTCTGGCTTATAGGAGGTTCTCAAGGAATAGCCACTTTCATTCTAATTGATATTCTTAGTGATATAATTTAATAACAGAATTGGCCTCACTTCCATGCCTACACTCGTGCAGTCCCTTCCTTGTGGGGCACATGACACCATCCCTCGTCTAGCTGTACCCTGCTTGCCCCACTTTTCAGGCCTGATCTCTGGTTACTCTCCCACAAGCAGCCTATATGAGGACTGAACTTGCAGGTTTCTGACCATATTTTTGTTTGTTTGTTTATATATATATAATTACACTTTAGGTTCTGGGGTACATGTGCAGATCATGCAGGATTGTTGCATAGGTACATACATGGCAACGTGGTTTGCTGTCTCCATCCTCCTGTTGCCTATATCTGGCATTTCTCCCCATGTTATCCCTTCCCAACTCCCACCCCACACTGTTCCTCCCTTTGCCCCCCGCAACAGACCCCAGTGTGTGATGCTCCCCTCCTTGTGTCCATGTGTTCTCATTGTTCAACACTGGCCTACAAGTGAGAACATGCAGTGTTTGATTTTCTGTTCTTGTGTCAGTTTGCTGAAAATCATGGTTTCCAGATGCATCCATGTCTCTACAAAGGGCATGAACTCATCTTTTTTTTTTATGGCTGCGTAGTATTCCATGGTGTATATGTCACATTATCCTTGTCCAGTCTATCATCGATGGGCATTTGGGTTGGTTCCAGGTCTTTGCTATTGTAAACAGGGCCGCAGTGAACATACGTGCGCATGTTTCTTTAGAATAGAAAGATTTATAATCCTTTGGATGTATACCCAGCAATGGGATTGCTGGGTCAAATGGAATTTTTATTTCTAGATCTTTGTGGAATCACGATACTGTCTTCCACAGTGGGTTTCTGACCATTTCTATGTCTTTGTACTTGTACTTCCCTGTGCCTGGAGTGCTCTCACCATTCCTTTTGTGTGTGTCCATCTGGTGAATTCCTCCTCAGTTCCAGAGTTGTCTCCTCTGGATCCCAGGCCTACCACTCATCACTTGCGTGGCCTTGATTAAGCTGCTTAATCTCTCTGTGTTTTAGTCTCCTCATCTGCAAGTAGGGAATATTAATAATAAAAAGACCTAGGAGGATTGATGTGAAAGCCAAATAAATTTACATACGTGCCTGGCACATTTTAAGCACTCAATAAAGGTTAGTTGCTGCTATTCTTACTAAGTGTGCTGTTCCTAAGCTTTCTGCAGCCCCCCTTCCCAGTGGAGGCAAAGATTATAGCATCTTCTGCAGTCTTCTATTTTAACACATCACATCTCATGTAAGCCTCATAAAGGCAGGAACTGTGCTATTTTGTGAACAGCTGGGCACATAGTTAGCTTAAGTATGTTTGTTGAATGAATGCATGATGGACATCTGTGTAAAGTCTGTCTTCTCTATTGGCTGTTGTATGTGTAATGTCTCTGTAATGATATCTGTGTAAATGTCTGTCTTCTGTATTAGATTTGAACTTTTATTCCTCTCTATGCCCTTAATATAGATATGATATACTATAATATACATCTATATTATACTATCCACCCAGATGTAATTCAAAACTTCACATGTGGTGTCTAAGCATGGTATCTCATAGTGGAAGGTCCTCCACAGATGTGTTGTGATTGAATTGTTAAAAGCATAAATTAAGATGAATTGATTGTTAAAAAGAAGAACCAGGGTGAAAATTTGAAACTCTCATTTTTCCTTGTTACTTTGTTTATTGGGATACCAATTTAATTTTATTACAGAGGGCAAAGGGAAATGTGATATAGAAAGTACTCCAGTGTTAGAGAGTTATTCAAAAGCTTCTGTGGTTAAATTTTATAGATTTTCTTGTTATAGCTCTTAGAGAATTCTGATGATCTCAGGCCATTGTTTCTCATGAAGAACAGCTAGGCTTTTAGTCATGCCAAAACTAATCAGTGTTTCTTATGTGGTTTACACTGGGAAATATTTTTTTGGTAATCATCTAAGATTATTTGTAGTTTTTATTGCAATTTTATGAACTTGTTATGGACAAAGCAATAGGGGCACAATCTAGGCTCCTGATTCTTAAACAGAGCTTCTCAGTTAATAGCATGAGAGTCAGAGTCTCAGGTAGGAATGGTTTCTTGCTGGGCGGATGCCTCTTGTGAGTTTGGTGAAAAGTGTGTGTATTGTCTGTGTAGTGCAGGCTGTGATGCTTCGCTTAGCTTCTGCTTCACTGCTGAGGCACTCACGCTCCCTGCTGCTGGAAGGATTGGTGGCTAGCTCTGCATTCGTTCTGTGAAAACTACCCTCAGCTAAGGAGGCCAGCTTCCCAGTGGTCATGCCCCTTCCCAGTGGCATCCAGAATGCAATGACTGATCTGTTGTCAGGATATAAAGGGTTGGCCCTCTTGCCTGATGGCTGAATCACTTTGGTTCCAGTGCTCCTGTGGGATCCACCGAGGCCTTTGTTATGCCAAATCCCAGTTAAATATCTCCCCGTGTCTAGTCTGGCTTCTCTTGCTCCCCCACAGGTGTTGATCTGAGAGCTCTCCCCACACAAATATCTTGCACAGACATCAGTCGCAGGGTCAGCTTCCTGGGGAGCTCAACCTGTGACTTATCATCTTTAGCTGTGTTTTAATGCCCTGGTAGCATCTCTGGGTGAGCTGGATGTCTTACACAAAACAGGTAAGTGTTGTCTATATGATGATGAATGATGCTTCCTTGCCATAAGCTTAGACTTCTTCAATATACATCTGGCTTTGCTATCTAATGACTGACAGAAGGAAATTAAGGTCAACAACTCCAAAACTATATTTATCATCTTGGGCAGAATTTCTCTAGTCCTTAATTGGACCTTACATGGAACAACATTTTAGAACTAGTTCATTCTGGAAGGTTCACCAGAAAGTGATTACTTGAAATTAGATGTTAATTTTTGCTCAATGACTGCAGTGGTATTTGTCACCCTTGTTTGATTTTTTTCGAGGCTGAAGTTACTGGTTTTCTGAAACTGTAGTGCCTTATAGATGTCAGTGTATATGAGAAAATAAAAGTTCCTTGAGCAATTAAGTCTGGAACATTACTGCATCCTATGGTACATAATTGCGTATTAAAAGCTGTGAGAGATCTTTCAGTAAGGAAATTTGTTTATATTTATTTCATTCCTTCTCTTCCAGAACACTCACTGAAGGACACTTTTATTTTGTCTGAATTGAGTTATATTTTAAATTTATTAAAACATAAAGCTCTTAAGTATACTATTCAATTAGTTTTGACAAATACAGTTTTGTCAATGAGTTTCGACAAATATGAATTTTGATGGTATATGCATGTAACTGTCACCCAAATTAAGGTTTCTACCATTTTCATCATTTTGAAAGTACTCTCCTATCCCTTTTTGACTTTAGCTTAAATAGAAACATGCGGCCCTCCTTCCTCATGGAGGCAAGGACTGTAGCATCTTCTGCAGTCTTCTACGTCTGGCTTGTTTCACTCAACAGTGTATCTGTGAGTTTGTCCATATCATTGCAATTAAACTATTTTTTAATGGATTGTAGTCTGAGAAACTGAAATGGCCGGGACATTTGGGGTGTCAACACTTATTTGTTTTTCTTGTTCAAAGCAACATAGACTAGGCCCCTTTTCTTTGTTGCATCTGTCCTTTTTAAGATGCTTAATTTTTCAAGACAGTGCCAACCTTAACCTTTACTCAATTGATTATACCTGATTTTGCTATGAATTGGCAGCATAGAATTCTTTTACTCTATGATATTTAAGAATATGTCTCTAAGATTTCTGTTGCTCAAACATGACTAATGGCCTGAGAATGAGAAAAAAAATG